TAGGCTTGACCCAAAATACATAAATCAAGAAAGTAAATTACCCCATATTTCTACAAAAATAAGGCAGGACCATAGAATCAGTAATGAGGGCCTTCTTAATATAGTGAGGAGTCGAATTAATGCTGAAATAGGAAACTAAGTTGTTTGTATCGGATAAGGAATAGTCCTGAGCGAGTAAATGAGCGATCCAATTGGCTTCTCTTAAAGTATGTCGAAAAATAATCTCAGACGTTTGCGAAGCTGTCCACATTTCCTCCAAAAATATCTTCCATCTACTTTCAGAGTAGGTCCTGAAGAAAATAGATAATTCGCTGGCAGTTCGTCTCCAGCTCGAATATTGTATTTCGCATTTCGGCTTCAAAGGCCAAAAGCTGACTCTGCACGAAGAAGAAATCTAAGACCGAAGAGAAGCTTCCCTTTCATATCGCGCACCACCACCCCGCCTATCGATCTATCAGGTGAGAACGAAGCATCAACATTGAGCTTAATTGTATTCTTAGGTCTACTCCATTTGATTATCTTCACTTCGCTTCTCGATCTGTTGAGTTTTCCTGAAAGAAACTTTTGTTCCATCAATAGATCAAATCCCTTATTATTCTTCCATTTCAGATCGAGGGACCAGTGTTGGGTATACAATTTGATTTGAAAGTTTAAGTAATCAATCGATGGAACCGATTCCATACTTCTCAAAATCAAACTTGCATATACCTTCCAAATGTTTCATAAAATGATTCCTGGAATGTTGAATTGAAATATGCTTATAAGAGAAGAATTATCTGCCCTAAGCCACCTGGATATAAGCATTTGTCATAAAGATTTGTAAACTCCGATGTTTTGAAATTTGAATATCCAATATACCCATAAAGTATGCCCATATATTTTTAATCCTTGGACATAGGTAGAAAATGTGGTCAATATACTCAGAATGGCTCCTGCAAAAAGGGCATATAGAGGGATAAATGATTTGATTGAACCTTAGAAAATTCTCAACAATAGGAATCATGTTTAGTAACTTCCACTCAATAATTTAATTTGCAGGGTATGGTTCATATTTGAGATGCAACGAGATGAAAGAGTAGGAGCTTTAATTTACTCATCCTGACTTCTTGAAAGGCAGTAGCGATAGATAAAATTCCTTCCAAATCAAGCAACCAGATAAGTTGTCCATCAGGGTCAATCTCAGATAAGTATTCTCCCCTGCTATTAATATGACATAAACGCCTCCAGATTATGGAATCAGTGACCTTAGGTTTCATAACCCCATGTCTAGGGTATCTTCAATTGCAAAACATAGCCCAAAGAGATTTATTTTGTTTCCACTTCCACCACAACTTTAGAGAAAAAGCTTTCTTTATGTCCTCAAGTAAAGGCAAACCAACCCCTCCCTCATCAACTGGGAGGCACGCATCCTTCCAATTTCTCCAGTAATATTTGTTTTTATTGTTATCACACACCCCAAAGGAAACGATCCATTTTCCTTTCAAGAATTCTAATAACCTTTTTGGGAAGAAGATCAACTGCCAAGTAATGTAAAGGGATAGTATTTAAAACATGCTTGATGATAATAAGTCTTTCCCCTGACTAAGGTTTTTGTACTTCCAGAAGATAGTCTATTATCAATTTTTTGATGAGATCTTCAGAGTATTTAAACCTATTGGTCCCTTTATGTAGGTAAGAACCCAAATACTTTACTGAGAGAGTGAATGATGCATCCTCAGTAAGTCTTCCATCTTTTTAATTCTGGTGGCATGTAGTTTGGTTGTAACAAAAATACTTTTGCTAAGATTCACAGTTTGCCATGTAGCCATTTGATATTTGCATAAAAATCTGTTGAATGCCAAAATGGATCTAGAATCTCTATTTAGAAACATAAGTAGATCATCATATAGGTAACCCTTCCTTTCCCATCCAGTATGACTTGATAGTTCCTTTCTCCATAGAAGCCTTAAGACCCCTAGAAAAAACCTAAGAGGCAAAAATGAAAAGAAATGGAGATAATTGATCACCTTGTTTAACACCCCTTGTAGGTTTGAAAAAACACAAGGCACCCCATTGACAAGAATAGAAAGAGGAGTACTCTACAAAATTCCGGATCAGTGGTCTGAAATGAGCATAAAAACCAAATATGTCCCGAATACCCTCCATAAAAGACCAGAAAACCTTATCAAATGCTTTTGCCCTATCCAGTTTAACCACCACATTACCCCTCATTTGATTTTCTTGTCAATTGAATGAATCATGTCCTAGACAATGAGTATGTGGGCTGATCTCTCTCTATTCTTCATGAATGCAGCCTGTTCAATAAAAATAATTTTAGGAAGAATAATAGTATGAAGTATGCAAGTAAGCACCTTAGTACACATTTTGCTAGCCAAAGTTCATAGACATATAGGTCTGAAATAATTAAGTCATTATGCTAATTGTTGTCTCATCAAAATATATCAAAATTACTCATCAGAAAATACTCGAATAACCTTATTTAATTGTTGTCTAAGTAATCGTGTCATTTTCAAGACGAGAAAATGTAGTAAGTTATACGCCTCAATTGTTATTCAAACTTTTTCATATCGATTCGCCATTACTAAGTAATTTGTACTCATATATAATTAAGCATAGTTATATCATTTTGCCAAATTTACTCACATTTAAGAATTCACTAATAAACATTTAAGATTGTTACATTCCCTAGTGATGTTTTTGAATGAAGTATTGCATAACTACTTTTGAGTGTAAATAAAATGCAAAACTAAATTATGTTACGTTAAACTACTGAACTGAAAAGGAAAAAAGGAATTTTAATAACAAGAATTGTATTGATGCATCACTCAATTGTTTGGATGAACTTTTTCTCATTGGTCATTTATTGTCATTATTACATGTTACATAAGAATGTCTTCTGAAATATCAAGTTGAGTAAATTCAGATGATTTCTATTCCATATTTCATTTTTTGGTAGTAGTGTTTACATTCCAACGTATAAGAGTTGTCTTGAACTTTTGATTATGATTATATAAAAACAATACAAAAGGTGCTATGACATCGTACAGTTGAATTTACAATTTTTTACGTTATTGATTCACAATTATAAACTATATGAAGTGCTCTGTATGATATATGAGTGTACATAACAAAAAAGTGTAAATTATATGGTACAACCGGTTGTACCAAGGACATGGTACAATCGGCATTTTTGTAATTAATTCTACATTATAGGATGAGTTGTTAAGTTAGTTCATTCCGTTCCTCCTTTTTTTTCGCCGCCATGGCTCTTTCGCTTCTGGGTTTCTCCATTTTTTTTCTCTTTTTTCTTTGTTTCGTAATGGTTTTCGTGCTCATTCGGTTTACGTTTTCTCTTTAGTCTTTTTTTGTTGCTTTTACTTGTTGTCTTTCTTTTCTTTTCTTAATTTTTTAGTTTAATTTTTTATTCAATTATTATGAAAATGTATTCTTTCTATTTTTATTTTAAGATGAATATTTATTAGTTTATTAAATATTGCGTGTTATTATTATCATGAGTTTTGTGTTATACATAAATTAGTATAGTGTAAAACAAATGAGCATGGGTAAATATTATAAAAACAAAACAATTATATTTCTAATTGAAGACTATATTTTTAATAAAACATTTTTATATTTCTCATTGTTATATACGAGTATGATAATAGTTTATTAAATTGTTAATAACGAATCTACTAGATGTACATATTATAGAAACGAGTTTATATTATATTCGAATGAGTATAACGATAAAAACAAATGAGCATGTTTTTAAGAATTCAAATGCGCCTTTGAATTTTTCGATGCTCGTTTGGTAAGTTAAAGTATACTCATAACTCATCTAGTATTGATTTTATGTTCATTTTAAAATGTCATATCAATGCATATTTGAAAACTACCATATATTACATTATTACATGTTACATAAGAATGTCTTCTAAAATATCAAGTTGAGTAAGTTCAGATGATTTCTATTCCATATTTCATTTTTTGGTAGTAGTGTTTACATCCCAACGTATAAGAGTTGTCTTGAACTTTTGATTAAGATTATGTAAAAACAATACAAAAGGTACTATGACATCGTAAAGTTGAATATACAAATTTTTACGTTATTGAATTCACAATTATAAACTTTACGAAGTGCTTCGTATGATATATGAGTGTACATAACCAAAAGGGTAATTTATATGGTACAACCGGTTGTACCAATGACATGGTACAATCGGCATTTTTGTAATTAATTCTACTTTATAAGATGTGTTGTTAAGTTAGTTCATTCTGTTCCTCCTTTTTTTCTCGCCGCCATGGCTCTTTCGCTCCTGGGTTTCTCCCCTTTTTCTCTTTTTTTCTTTGTTTCGTAATGGTTTTCGTGCTCATTCGGTTTACGTTTTCTCTTTAGTCTTTTTTTGTTGCTTTTACTTGTTGTCTTTCTTTCCTTTTCTTACTTTTTTTCTTTAATTTTTGAGTTTAATTTTTTATTCAATTATTATGAAAATGTATTGTTTCTATTTTTATGTTAAGATGAATATTTATTAGTTCATTAAATATTGTGTGTTATTATTAACATGAGTTTTGTGTTATACATAAATTAGTATAGTGAAACAAATGAGCATGAGTAAATATTATAAAAACAAAACAATTATATTTCTAATTGAAGACGATATTTTTAATAAAACATTTTTATATTTCTCATTGTTATATATGATAATAGTTTATTAAATTGTTAATAACGAATTATAGAAATGAGTTTATATTATATTGGAATGAGTATAAGTGTATAACTATTAAGATTAGATTGGTTGTAGATCAGATTGTTTTTTTTTTGAAGAAGATTAGATAGTTTATGAAACACATAAAATGAGGTACAGACAATATCAATCAATTAGGATTATGTAATCAAATAAGTTAAAATTTAGTGCTACAGAAATTTAGAGAATATGCATGGGTCAAAACGAAGTATTTATTTGACAAATCATTTTTCGGAATATTCATTATTATTATACGATGGAAAAAGAAGATGATAACCCGATTGCAAATTAACAGCCTATCCTCTGACTTTCTCGGACCAGATCCCTATTTGCGAGAGAAAACAGCTCATGGAAGTTCCACTCGATGCTCTATGGGTTTCAGAGAAGTAACAAACATTTCTTGCTCCAGCTTTTTCTTCAGTCTCGGAGTCCAATTTATTGCTCAAAGGTCTGGGTCCAGCTGAAGAAGAAACCATGGAGTTTTTGTCCTTATAAGCGGTAAATTGATTCAACGCTGTGTATTGTATTTTCAATTTGGGATTCTAGAACGTGAATATCCCTACAATCATGTCTTTTAAGCTCGGTTCCTGGAATTGAATCTCCTTTTGGGTCACAATATCAGTGCCCCTTTTCATCTCCTTTCCCCCCTTTTTCGTTTTCGATGATAGGAAATTGGGCTTTTGTTTTCTTGGAGACTCATAAGTGGTTAGGGTTCGCTTCCTTCGATTGAAGTCGTTTAAACATATATTCTGGTCCTTATTATTCATTTCCAGGTGATGATTATGGGGTTGCTTCCTACATTTTCAGAGTGGAATCTTGGATTTTTTTTTGTCTTAATTGTAAATTAGGGTTTCTTCCGAACTTGTAATTTTCAGGGTATCTGTTTTTTCTATTCTCTTAGTGCTCTAATTCATTGAGAGCCCTACCTAAGCTTTGGATTGGTCTAGTCTAAGCTAGAGACCCATGTTTTTGATATTCTGAGCTAAGAGTTTTGGCGTGTTTAGTACTTTAGTAAAAGGAACTATGGAGGATAATGCAATGAATCTTGATCTTAACCTGGGTCCTGTTGATCACCCAAACGATGATGTGGAGCCTGAACCCGGCCCGTTCCCCAATCAGAATTCGAATTGGGAGGAGCTTTTAGTTAGGGATAGGAGACCATATTCCACTGAATCATTCCCAATTGATCATATCAATTTGGAGGAATTTCTAGACGGAACTGTCAGGGAAGCGGTCAGGCAAACAAGGCAGAGAAGGCAGCGGTGGCGGTCCATGTGGAGAGAGCTTCCAGTCCCACCTGAAACCAGAAGCATTGCAATGGAATGGATAGGGGGAAGCAGATTGCACACGGGGGAGGCCAGTTTTGCCACACCAGAGGATGATGTAGGCCCCACTGCCACTGAATTGACCAAAATCTGCGACAACAACAATACGTGTTTGGATGATGAGACGTCATCAGGAAAGAAAGAAGAGAATGAAAATGGTAACGGCGATGAAGGTTGCTTCTTTGATTGCAACATATGTTTGGATCTATCAAAGGAACCAGTCGTCACGTGTTGTGGACACTTGTTCTGTTGGCCTTGCCTTTACAGATGGTTACATGTCCATTCCGATGCAAAAGAGTGTCCAGTCTGTAAAGGGGAAGTTACGATGAAGAACGTGACTCCGATTTATGGGCGCGGCAGTGGGGCCCGTGAGTCAGAAGGTGATGACTCAACCTCTGCACTAAAAATCCCACTCAGACCCCAAGCCCACCGAGTCGAGAGCTGGAGACAAACCATCCAGAGGGCTTCGTTTACTATCCCGATGGAAGAAATGATCAGGCGGTTAGGCAGCCGGTTCGATCTGTCTCAGGTGCAGACTCAAAACCCCCAAGAATCTCCCGGTGATATTCTCAACCGGTTTTTGACATCAAGGGGACGAAGAGAACAGCAGAATCCGCATATGATGGGGGTGGACGACAGAGATTCTGGTTCGAGCATTGCTGCTGTTATCCACTCAGAGAGTCAGACTGTGGATAATGCCATTGAAATTGATTCTACTGTGTCGCTTTCCACCTCATCTTCCAGAAGAAGAAACGATAATGCCTCTAGAGTTTCAGACGTTGATAGTGGAGATTCCCGCCCACTTAGGCGGAGGAGGCTCAACTGATTGATTTCCCTTGTCATCTTTTATATTCCTAAGTTTCATATATGTTTTAGATCAATTGTGTTTCCTTGAGTATAAATTGTTGCCATTATATATGTTCCAAACTTTGTTGAATTGAACTTGCTGTCATGATGGAATCCCTCACGAGGTATTCATTAATGCATTTCTAAGTTTTGTTTTTCTGTCTTTTGTTATCATGTCTTATATACTGATTAACTTGATACCATCAATTGCTTAAAATCTATCTTTTGGGTTGAGCATTATGTTGGTTTGTTTCTTACGGAGTACATGATCATATCTCTGAGCTTCTGGGTTGCACTTTCTATTTATCTACTCTCAATCATACACCCTCTCCTTGCGTAGACAACATAGATTTGGGTCATTTTGCCACTACGGTTTTGAGGTTCTTTTTTATGGAGTCATTTTTTGAGCAAGAAAGCGAGTCGGTGTTAGTTTTGACAAACAAAAAAGAACTCCGTATGGAACAATGGCATTACTATCAAGCCTATTACAGTACTTTTCCCCGGTAATGTTATTATTGTTAACAACTACAGGTATTAGTATTGTTGTTGTTAGGGTGGGAACTAATAATTGAATAATTTTGATTGGATTGGTGATTCGAATTTAAAAATGTGAATTACAATTTGAAAATATAATACTAATACAGATAAAAATATTGTTTCCAATTCGAATACAAATATTATTACACTAGACTCGAACATTATTTGACTATATTCAAATTATATATATCAAATAAAAATCATTCTTTCCGTTAAAATGATGAAAAATGCATTATAAGACTGTGTTGCACTTTTTCGTATTGACAGAAAACTTTGATTTATTTATCAAAATGTTACCGCGATTTTATTTACCAATTTAATGGAATGACATTATCAAAATTCAAAAGTGTAAAAGATGAGCTTTTAAGTGCATCAAATTGAGTGAAATATATATGATGACAGTTTGCACGATAAGAGAGGGTTTGTATTGAAACTGCACCTTATAAATCCATATTCATAAAATATAAAATACTTCAAATAAATAACTACTTATAGTATAATACAATGTAAAAATATTAGTAACATAATATTAATGAGCTGAAACTCATAGATATTTTGTATAGTACGGAGTATATTTTAGCTTAGTAAATGGCGTCCCTCATTCTTCACTTTGGAGTTTCCAAATAATGTTTGTGAGTAATGAGGGTCTCGTCTCTTTTCCGATGTACCCATAAAATGAGGACCTCGTCTCAAATTGTCAACCTCAATTCAAGTAACTTATAGTTCAAAACGATGACGAAATTTATACTGCAGTAACTCCTTTAGAATGACGAGTAATTCACATCAGGACTCTGGAAGACCATTGATATACTTCCATTCGTTTTCAAGCAAGTCACATTTATGAAAAGAATCTCTATAAGTGGGGGTGGTATACAATACCTTCAGAATTCCTCACGCACTCAAAAACGTGCTGCCTCAAATGAAATAACAATTTCCTCATGTAGTCGTGTTGTAGTTTCCTTCGCTCTAGGTCATTCATATAATATAAGTTGAGCAATAGTATCTCTATGATCTGCACTCATTCATCGATCTTCTTATTCCACTCAATTGTCTTGTTGTTCATTGGATAAGGCTCAAATTCGACACTAGTTACACGAGAATCTCACATTGACTACTAAGGTTTCAAATAGACCAAATCGGACACTATAGTTACGTGTAAATAGCATATTAGTCACCAAGGTTTCATAATTCATAGGTTTTGGACACTCACTTACGATTCTCTTCTTCATTTAATAAAATAAACCAATTTAATTGATGTATACAATTTTGAAATATTTAATTCGAGGTTTTGGAATATATAATTCAATTTTAATTAATAACTTCTTATGTTTAACAAGTTAAAAAATACATTTAGGACACTTCACTTATATGATTTTTATGGAACTTTGAGAAATTCGATTTGTTAAATTGATTTAGAAATATTAAAGAATTCAATTACATTATAATTGGTTTTCGTAATTGGAACATCTAATTATATTCTAAATCAAAATACACAAATTCAATTTTTTTTTTCTTTTTAGGTACATAACACAAAGGAAGAAAGGGATACTTGTTGCTTTCAAATGTGAAAAACCTTTGGTAGGTGTCCAAAAATGATAAAAAAAAACGTTAAATTTGATCCATTTCCAATTATAGTGTCCAATATGAGATAAACATGTAGTCATTCTACCCATGTGAAATCTTAATGTCCAATATGAGATTTAGAGGTGACTAATGTCTGATTTGAACTTTATAAAGCTTGTAGTAGATTTGTGTAGGACACGTTAGATATGGATACAATATACATAGAATGTTGCATATGTTCTGCTAATCAAGAATATCAGAAGTGAGTTGATCAACAAATTAGTATATCTTAATTTTAACACTCGAATCACGAGAAATTTTGAATTAAAAAACCTATAGTTAATGAAACTCATATTTTGTTAACTTTATACGTATAATATTGTGTCACAATAATCAAAACTTGAGTAAAATAGAAAAAAGTCATACTAGTAACATTTTAAAGCAAAAAAGAGTTTTTAATTCTAATAAATAGGTTCCACGTCCTAACGTCCTCACATATGTGCAGCCCATTTTCTTCCTATGCACCAATCCGTACTCGGTGAATTGGGAGATCCAAAGGTCTCACCATAGTGTTGTGTGTCCACTTTGGCACCTCTTCATACCTTTTTTCGAATCCAACAAATTTCAAATATACTAGTATGATACTATATTTGCATTTTTATAACAGTTGTACAGTTGTATGATACAAAAAATGAAAACTGTAGATTAGTAAAAATTGACTTTTTGAGGACAGAGGTAGAATTAGTCATAATGAATCTTTAAACTTACCAGAAGACTATCCATTACAAACCACATTTCTTGCTTGCTTAAAGAGGGCATCAAGAGATCCACCAAATAACAATTCATTCTTGGTAGCAGGGATGGGGTTTGGGTGGGAGCTAAACAAACCTCATCTTAGTAACATGATCACCCTCAAGAACCAATCCCAGCAAGGGATCTTTTTATATACGAATCATCCGTTCTGTACATCGTAAAATCTGCGCTCTTCTTATGTACTTAAAAGCGTCGAGTAGGGCCGTGGACTGTAAAAAAGGGTTATTTGTGGATGCTAATAATGTGTAGTGACTGTTTGTGGAGATATTAACATCACACCAGAAATACCTCTTTCAATTCCTTAATTACATGCAGGATGATGACAGGATCAAACCAAAATGCAAGTGCTGCAAACCTATGCCTTTTATGATAGTGGAGACTAGGGACAGGTCCTACTGGAACAGCATCCTTGAGAGATTTCAGGAGTTCTTCAGCTAGGACAACTGATTTTGGAACATCTATTAGTTGGTCAGCCAGTTCCTTAATGGATGCATCCTACAAGGGGTTAACTTAAAAGATTGATTAAACAAAAACAAAAACTCTTTCATCCTTATAATGTTGATAGAGTATATTCAATAAGTAATTCTGAGCAAATCTCAGAAGTTAGGCTACTACAATAACAAAATATATGAACCCACGTAAACAGAAAAATAGAAAGAGGAAACAGATGGTTTGAGACACTTCAAGCAGCCCCTCTCCCAAGCCCATGTCCAACAGAATTCTGCCTCTTTTTTTTTTTTTTTGAAGAATTCTGCCACTCTTATTCCATACTTAGTTTCTATTTATATTAATTTAGTATTATTATTAATCCACTGTTCTACCTGGGTCCTTATTATCTTATTTATAATAGCTTTCTTCAGCCGGGTTCCTATCAGCATGACACTAATTACTCTTATATAGGGGGAAAACATATTACTTTTATTTTGGAATTTCACATTATTTTTACTTATATTTAATACAATTCTGAAACAGTTACAAGCGCATTATAAATTTATACATTTTGATTTTTTCTTCAAGAACGAAAAATGGGGTTATACATACTTGACAAAGCTCAGCAATGATAGAGCAAGATGGAGACTCCATGCACATTTTACTCTCAGATCTATTTGCTCTTGATTCAAGGTCGGTTTCTTCTTCCTAACAATTTGTTTTTCAGAAAATAAATCATCATAAAAAATTGAGCTGAACTTTTGGAATCAAATACATCTCAAATGCCAACAATCAAAAGTAGAAATCATGGATATAGCGAAGTACGAAGAGACAATGAAAACAGATATATTCCACAGGTGAGAGGGAGAGAAAGGAGAATACTTCAAAGGATCTCGAACTAATCAGAAAAAATGATACTTGGGACACTCACCTTCACAATAGAAAAATGGGCATCTCCTAAGTCCACTTTTTTTACACCTAAAACACGACCGCCCATTGCATAAACCAATGGAAGAAGTGATTCTTCATTAGCCCAGTAGCCTATGAAAATACTCAAGGCATTCCTTGAAGAATTGGAGAAATAAAAATTAGATAAGGTTAAACCGTCAGAAATTTAGCATTATCACATTTATGTAATTAGTTGCATAAACTATGCATATCATGAAATTTATATAGAGTTGAAAATGCATCTACGCTTCAAACAACCATTCAAGCATAAAATATAATTTGGATCAGCTCAAGCAAAAATAACTACTATTCAAAGATGTCAAGTAGAAGTTACTATTACTGATATTTATCATATAAACACCATGAAACTTATAAACAGTTTATGGAGAGGAAAGAACCTCATCATAGTAGCAGGTTCCCTATATTGAAAAATATTGCCAAATGAGGGATCATCCCTGATCTTATGTACAAGGAACGCGGTCAGTTTCTCGCTAGCTTCAAGCATATATCTCCGAGCCGAGCAGGGGAGATCATCCTGCACAAGATAAAGTGAATATGGTTAGCCAAGAAAGCGAAGCTAAGTTGAAGCTATAGTTGCCTAGTTGGTAAAACCCCAAGTAAAATCAAACTGAAGTATCTGATTACCTTCACAAGAATTCTAATAAAGTCGCGATTTCCCCAAACGTTTTTCACTTTGTCAAAATGTAGCAGTGCACGGCCACCTAAGGTGCATTGTGAGTTATCATAAAGGGTTTCGAGAAGCTTGTCTAAAGGCCGAAAAACTGCCTCATTTTTAATACTTTATCAGCCAAAGACTCGATGTTAGGAACCTGCATAAATGTACATTATAGTGAAACAGAGTTTCCAGTCTCTAATAAGAAACTAAATGGAAAAAATATAGGTGTGCTCACATCAACAAGTGTATCCACCATAGATTCGTCGCCAAT